TTATATTTGCCATAGCAACATTTTTAAGGAATATCATAATAACTCTTCTGCAGCTTATCTGTGTGATTGAATCAGAGGATATATATATATATATATATATATATATATATATATATATATATATATATATCACTTGCTTCCTGAATTCTTTGCCTAAAGGAGGCGCTACTGAATTCCGAAGACAGAATCAGCGCCTGCTGAGCTACCCCAAGCTAGGATAGCTTTGAGACTGCAATACAAAAGCCACCTGCTGTGTTATATCCCCATGTCACGAAAATGAAAGTACCGTGGAGAATTCCTTGCACACGAGCTCAGCCTCCCCACATGGTAGGCACATACTTCTCTGACGAACACGGAGAGCAGACACCCATGCAGAGCCTCTGTGGTTAGGCACCACGTGCTTCTCATGCATGTTTGTCTTGTGGCACACAGCCACAGAGGGATATCCAGATTGGGAAGGTTCTTGGATTTCACCTTCTCCGTTTAGAAATAAGGAAACGGGAGTCTAGATAGGTGGAGGGACTTGACCAAATCTGATACACGGGACAGAGTTCAGGAGTGGAGCTTTCCCTAGACACTTGTGTTTTTTCTTAAACAAATATCATTCTCTCTCTTCTCCCCCCCTCTCCCTTCCATCCTCTCTTATCCCCTTGTCTTTGTCTTTTTGTCTCTTTTCTCCTTTCCCCTCCTCCCTCCCTTTCTTCCTCCTCCTCTTCCTTCTCCTCCTCACTCTGCTCTCCTTTCCCTCCCCTCTCCCCCTAATCTTTAGTTGGATTGGCCCTTGCCCAAGTCTCTACCGTATGCCCTTTGGGTAGAGGATCTAAGTGACTGCAGCCCATGCTGGATGTGGACCCCTTAGCTTTCTTTTTCTCACATCTGCCTCAAGAAAAATCCTTAGCCACATTGGGTTTAAAGGTACCAGCAGCATTTGAGACATTCTGCTAATGTCATGATAGGATTCTCAGATGTGCCCAATTTTCAGTTTGCCCAAGTTGAGAACCACCTCTTCAGTTTTTGGTGTGGCTTTTTTCTTCCTGGAGGGAATGGAAGGTTATCAGACATGGGCCATGTCTTGGACTCGATGGCCTGCACCTTTCTGTTGCTTAGGCTAGCCATCACCTAGGTAACTGACACTCTGCCAGTGAAACAGTCGGCCCTCAGTGAAAGGAAATAAAAATACAAGCTCAGTGTTGACTCTTTGTATGCTATAATTTTTTTGCATGTTACTTGATTTCGAAAGAAAGGATTTGGCACTTCTCAGTTGGGCTTTGGCCCCTGCGCCCACTGTGCGACCTTCCTGCTTCCTGAATTTCAAGTCTGTTTCTATCATGGATGTGTGTGTGTGGTGTATGTGTGTGTGTGTAAGCTGAAAGCAAAATGAAGTTTTCATTCTTGAATGATTCCCAGGAGGACTGTATTTCACATAAGTTTTTATGAACAGCTAGCAAAGCAAACTTATCCTCCAACTTACTCAGTTTGGTTTTGGGAGTGTTTATGTTTTTAAAAATGTTCCTTCCTGTGGGGGTGTTTTTCCACTGGGTATGTTCTGTTTCCTTAGTTACTGTTGCTCTGTTTTGAAAGTGCTTCAAGACGTTCAAGTTCAGTATTAAGTGAATTTATTTCCTGGTTAGGCCTTCCCACCTTTCCAGGATAAATAGAACATCTGAGCAAGCATAAATTTTGTGTGTGTGTGTGTGTGTGTGTGATGCCAATGGGCTATCTTCAGAGGGTGTGATCTTGTGTGTGTGGCTCAGACTGAGCCTGTGACCTTTTGTACTCGGTAAGTCTCCTCCCACCTCGATATTATTACCAAGCCTCAGGCTTTGGGAGTAGAGAACTACCCCGGGTTCAGAGGCTGAGGAGAACTGTACCAGCGACACGTGTACGACGTGGCTCTCCTACACACTGGACAGTTGGGCCAGTTAGCCTCTGTAGGGTAGGTTTTTCTACCTCTGAAGTCTTGATAAATGAGACTAGATGCTGCAATTGAAAGAACTTCTAGTCAGCGGCCTCTAAAGGTCTTTCCCGGACAGGGCACTCGGTGCCCTACCAAAATAGCCCCACTAGGAGGTGAAAGACACCCCTCTTCTAGTCAAGAGGGTCAGAGCTGAAGACAACTTGGTGCATAGTACTCGTAAGTTCAAGGCTTGGGGTGGGTTTATTTAACAAATACTTGCTGAACTTTTGTCTGTGCGCCCATTTACCTCATGGGAGGAACAGTATTTCGGAAGCATTGTGCTAAACCATCTCTTTCCTTCGCTCAGATACTCCTTCAGGATATCTTCACTGGGCACCTATCAGCAAAGGGAGGGCTGTGTGTGCTGAGGAGGTTTAGAGAATCAAATAGCCATTGCCTTTGTCCTCATGAGACGTGCAGGGAGAGAATTGTGTCCTGTGGTCAGGTCAACTGTAGGGAGAAGACTGCGTGAAGAACTGGGGAGCCAGGCTCCGGTCTCTCAGAGGCATTTGCTCTTCTACTCCTGGCTGTTTTCAGATGTTCTCCAAAGGTCTTTCTAGTCATGGCTTCAGCCTATTATATATATAATTTTTTCCCCTGGTATATTCTGGATATTTCTCCTTGGTCTGAGGAGCATGGATTTCCTCTCATTGTGTAGGTTGTCTTTGTGCTCTGTTGACTATCTTAGTAATGCGAAAGACGGACTTAGTTTGATGTTAAGTTCATTCATTAATTTTGCCTTTTGTTTCCTGTGCTTCTAGGGGCATATAAAACCAAACCAAACCAAAAGGCAATATCAACAAACGCCAAGTCTTTCATAGTTCTATCCGTGCTGTATTTGGGATTGCTTTTTCTATGTGGTGAGAGATGGGGGTCCAGTTTCATTCTTTTGAATATGAATTTCCAGTTTTCTCAGCACTTTTTATTGAAGAGACTAGTTTTTTCCTTAATGTGTGTTTTTGGTGCCTTTGTTAAAGACCAGTTGGCTGTAAATATGTGCACTTTTGGGTTCTTTCTTCTGCCTCGTAAGTCAGTATGCTATTTCCTTCTGGTGCTTTGCTGTTTTGTTTAGTTTAGGTATCTAGATGTCTCATAATCTGCTCACACTGGCTTTGTAATCGGACAAATTAAAAGATCCTTTAGAAGATAAATATTTTTAAGACTCTTTGTGTGCGTGAATTGCGTGAGTGTGTGTATGTCGTGGGTTTGTGAGCATCCAAGGAAGTCAGAAGAGAGAACTTGGATACCTTGGTGTTGGGGTTATAGGCAGTTATGAGCTGGGAACTGAACTTGGGTCTTTTAAAAGAGGAGCAAGTAATCTTAATTGCTGAGCCACCGCTCCAGTCCTGGATTTTAGGATCTTTTGTGGTTACATATGGATTTAGAACTAGTTTCCTAACTCAGAAGGAATGACATTGCTGTTTTCATGGGTATTATATTTAATCTGTAAATCATGTTGGAGGGTATGATCATTTTGGCAATAGTAATTCTTCTAATTCATGGGCCCGGTCTTTCTTTCCTGTTGTGTGTATGTGTGTTCACTTCAATATGCTTCATCAGTGTTTTGCAACTTTATATTGTAAAAATTCTTACTTCATTTGTTAAATGCATTGTTTCAAATGTAGTGTAATGCCAGGAATGGAGGAGGGTGCACGGAGGTCGGGAATTCAGAGCGATTGTGAGGAGCTTCAGGCATATATAAGACACACTTAATTCACCAGCCCAGGGGCCTCTAGAGAAGTAGCTGCTGGCTGGCACCCAGGCACGTGGTGTCACACATGGGTTGCACATGGGCACACATAAGTGCATATACAAGTTGGTACACAGGTCACATAGAAGTAGAAGTAGACAACATATAGAGACAAACACACAGGCAGGCCTGGCAAAGCTTATGCCTCTGGCCGCAAGGCTATATTTATACAGAACTCACACAAAAATGACATTCTGTGAGCAATAGTTACACAGTAGAGGAGATCACTGTTTACTTTTGGGGTTCCCCAGACATCTGGTGTCAGTCATTTTGTGCTGACCCCCAGCTGACCAGATGTCCACATCGGTCCTATCTTGTATAAGCATAAACTGGCCCTCGCTGCCTTCTGTTCCCAACATTAGATTCTGTCTTCTTTCTCTCCTTCCTTCCTTCCTTCCTTCCTTCCTTCCTTCCTTCCTTCCTTCCTTCCCTCCCTCCCTCCCTCCCTCCCTCCCTCCCTCCCTCCCTCCCTCCCTCCCTCCCTCCTTCCTTCCTTCCTTCCTTCCGTCTGTCCGTCTTTCTTTCCCTTCTATTCTTCCTCCTCATTCTTGTAGACATTGTTTTTTTTTTTCCCTTCCTTCCTCCCTTCCTGCCTCCTTCCCACCCTCGTTCTTTCTGCTTGTCTATCTTCTGTCTGTGTTCTCCTCCTTCTTTGGTTTTGTTTTTTGAGACAGGGTTTCTCCTTGTAACAGCCCTGGCTGTCCTAGAACTTGCTTTGTAGACCAGGCTGTCCTCAAACTCACAGAGGTCTATCTGCCTCTGCCTCCCGAGTGCTGGGATTAAAGGCGTGTGCCACCACCACTGGCTTCCTGTAGACATTGTGAATTGGAATATTTTTATTTCTTTCTTAGTAAGTTTGCACTGATATATAAAAATGGTTCTTATTTTTATAAAATGTTGATATTTTAGCTCTCAACTTTACTAAATGTATTAGTCCTAGCAATCTTCAGTAGACTATGTTCTTCTGCATATAGAATCCCAGGTGTCTGCCAGCAAGGACAGTTTGGCTTCATTTCTAAATTGGATGCTTTTCATTTTTTTTCTCTTGCCTTTTTTCTCCAGCTAGGGCATTGGATGCTGTGGTGAGTGGGTGTGGTGTTGATAGATGTGCTTGCCTTGTTCCTGGTCTTAGATGAAAACGTTTCAGCCTTTCTCATTGGAATGGTATTGGCTGCAGCTCTATGTCACCTTTTTGTGTTGAAGTGTGTTCTTTCTATACCTAATGCTGAAGGCTTTTCTCCCGGGGTTGGGGGATAGTGAAGTTTATTAAATGTCTTTTCTGCTTCTCTGTAGCTGGTTGTTTGGAATTGTCTCCATTCTGTTGGTGGGCTGTGTCACGTGTTCTGATAAGGATGAAATCACCTTTCATCCCTTGGGTAAGCTTCACTTCACTATAGTGTAAGCTTTCTTCAGATCTTAACTCCTCATTCTTGGAGCACCGATGGCCGTTGACAGGAACTAAAGACCACTTCTAAGACCCCAGGAAATCGGTTCCTTCAGTGTGTGTGTGAAGTCTAAGTAGCCGAAGAAAGATGTTTGGAGATTGTGGGCTTATGTCTGCTATTAGAGTGCCATAAAATGGATAATGTGCGTGGGAGTTATAAATGGAGGTGTCCCCCTCACCAGTTACCCCAGTGTTCACAGGGTCATGGTCATAGCTGAGCTGTGTTTTAATTTTTAATTTTGTCGGCCTATTCATCTGCTGGTGTGTTGTTTTGTGAGGCAAGGCCTCTCGATGTAAAGTCTGCTTCTCCTCCTCTCAGTGACTGCCTCAGCCTCCCAGGACTGGGATGACAGGGTATACACCACCAGCAGGTCTGTTGCTCTCGCTGGTTCCCATGGTCCTGAAGAAAGTGACTTCTTTCTTTTTAATTTCAGCCAGAACTGAAGAAGCAGAGAGCAGAGAGTACCTGTTCCGAACATCCTGAGAGCCCCTGGTGAGGCTGCGACTGCCTACTTCTTGGGAGATGCTGGCTGCCAGGAGGCCGAGGAGCCCTTTGTTTTGAAGTGGGACAGCGGGATTTCAGCAGGACAGCTTCTTCGCTCCTGACCTCACCATGGCTTCAACTCTCTGGCTGGACGGCTGATGTGACTGTGTGCCCCACATGCTGTTGGACTGCGTACCATCCAGGTAGTGCCTGCTCACAGGGTGTGGGAGCACAGCCGGCGGGCATCAGATGCTCCCCCAAGTTGGACCAGCAGAGTGATGGACTTGGACAGGCTAAGATGGAAGTGACCTGAGGCCTTGCCCGGGTGGTTTCTTCACAACAGGACTAGTTAAGAATTGAAACACAGGCTTGTCTGGGGAGCAGTATGCCGGAAGCTGGTTTTCAGGCCACAAATGCGTTCACAGGTGAGAACACCCTCCACACAATTGGGAGGCTTTGATTTCACTATCAGGTACTGTGTAATAAAATACCAAACAACTGTATATAACATAGAGGTATATTTAAACATATAAGCTGAAGGCCATGCAGAGTCAAGGGTTCAGGCTGCCATGGTAACCGATTTCGACAAAATAATAGTATACTTTGCTGCCTTTCTCTAAATAGGGCTGTATCATTTGCAGAACAATGCATTAGTGATTCTTTTTCTTTTAAAGGGCTAGGAAAATTCTCCAAGGGGAAATGCATTTCTGACCAGGAACCTTTCCCTTCCCATTTTTACTTTCCATCTTCTGGTTTATCAGACAAAGAGCTAGCTAATGTGGTGGGGGCCGCCGTGGCCGAGTTAACTTTGCAGTTAGGATCACTCTCTTGTAAATGAACCTTCAGAGAAGCTAGGATTAAATCAGGATTTATTGTTGATTTTTTTCCCCTACTGGCCAGCGGTTTGCACATTTTATGAGGAGTCGCTTTGGCTAACGCTAGAACCATGGCTGGAGATACAGTGACTTTTGATTTTGAGTTCTGGCTCTTTAATTTAATTTGGGAAACAACTTTGTCTTCTGGACCTATGGCTCCTTGTTTGTTGGTTACAGTATGGAACCTAGGGAAAATGATTTTATGTAAAAAAAACCTTATGGAATCCAGGAAAAATATTTTTTTTATGTAAAAAGAGCCATTTTTGGGTTTTGCGTGTTTTACTTAAAAGAGAAGATAATAGAAGTAGGAAGTGAACTGTGTTGATATCTTATGAATCTTAAACTGTTGGCTTTTCCAGTTTTGTAGCGAGAGTGGGTCAGGATGTTGGGGTCTGTGGACAATGGAGTCGAGGTTAGGAATTGAGAACCACAGGGGCATTTGCTAGGCTCTTTCCTCGCTCAGTTCCTTCTCAAGTCTCTGTTAATGAAGGTGCCCTAGGCCCCCACCGTACTGCTCTCGGGAAAACTAAGGACACTGGCATGAGATGTGGAGTCAGAGTTCTGTTTTGGAGTTAGGTGACCAGGTCCAGCCCTGACCGCTCCTCATCCTCACTGAGGGAGCATGGGTCAACTCTAAAGGTCTCAGCACCATGGCTGTCACCCGGGGGGCCTGATCTTATACATTTCTGTCTGGAGCTGTGATGGGGAAGGTTATCCTCAAATGATCATGGCTAAAGATATTTAAACATAGACTCAGAAGACAGGACAAAGCCAAGCTCTCTAGAATCGTCTTCAGATGTCTTGGGCTGTAATCTCCACCTTCTAATAATTGCTTAACCCATGCCCCTCTGGTTGTTTAGGTTAAAAAACCTGCTTACTCATGGAAGTCATACTCCCTTCTGTGTGGAGGGTAGTGACTTTGAAGCATCTCTGTGAAGTGGTCAGATGTCACTTAGCTTCCTTGATATCCAGAAGGCAACTAAGGATGAGAGCCGGGTAGAGATGCATGTCAAATGGCTCTTAAAAGCAGTCTGAGAAGAGAGGACCAGAATAGAAAAGGCAAAGGATGTGGGACAAGATAAACTTAAGGAGGAGGAACCCTGGGCTCATCACACCAGCCTAGTCCCAGACAGGAACATCCCAGTGATGTTAACCCTGACATCACTGCTCCAAGGATCTGAATAGTTCCTGTACTTGTTATTTTCTTCCTGATTCCGGAGGCTGCATCCATGCTTGCCTTGCCATCCGGTTCATTGTGGTTTCCATTTGGTGGCACCCATTCCTCCCGCCCCTCCACCCTAAGGGGAAAAAAGAAAAAGACAGGCCAACGTGTGGCTTTCCATGAAGTAACAGGCAGCCCCACATTCTGCTTGGAGCATCCTTGCTAGGTAACATAGCTAGGGCTTTTCAGACATTAAAGCCCAAGGAAAGGATAGCTGTTACTGTAATTACCAACTGTATCTGCTCCCCACAGCTCCCTCCTCCCACCCTGTGCTTGGTGGGGGTGGGAGGAGCTACTCTCAGGCACCTCCTCCCCGGCTCACATTCTCTTTTCTTCAGAGCTCTATTTCTTTGTCCTTTTATCTGTTCCTTGTGTCAGCTGGCTTCAGTAACAGTCATGCGAGCAAGGGCAGTATTGGTGGCAAAGTGGTGACTGTAGCTAACATGTCTGAGAGCTCAGCACGCTGGGCCCTGAGTGTCTCACCTGCTTTCTTTCTCTCTTCTTTTTCTTTCCTCTGTGAATCTTACAGCACCTCCGAGGCCAGTACTGTCCTGCCGGTGTTGCTGGGCCATGGAGAATGATTGGTAGAGCCCAGAGTTGGAAGAGCCAGTGGCCTTCTTTAGTTTTCCCTTCCAGTGTCCTCCTCTATTGCTTTCTACCTTACTCTGACACAGTTAGTTCTGACTTAGTTAAGTGTGTGTGCGCACATGTGGAGACCAGGGGGAGTCAGTTCTTACTCTTTCTCATATGTGACCTGGGGGTGGACTCAGGTCATCAGACTTGGTGGCAAACACCTTTACTTACTAAATCATTTTGCAGCTTTCAGTGTCCTGTTCACATCTCGCTATATATTGGATTCAGCCAGGGAACCATACAGCTACCTGGATTTTGCCCTCAGAGATCAGGATTTGGTCAGTCTCCGCATCAGCTAAATCTGCCAAATCAGGACCTACCTTTATTCTAACAACACCATGGATTTTTGTGTCCATAAAAGCCTTGAAGTGCAGAATGCCAGGATCATAGAGAGAACGGTGTTTCAGGAGAGACCAAAGATGGGCTGGGGGACTGTTTCAAATGAAGGTGTGCCGTTTGTGCCTTCCCTTAACTAACCATCTCATTATAAGATGCTATTGGGTGCCTGGTACTATTGTATGCGTTCAGGACGATGGCTTGTAGCCTCCCCACGTTTCTAGGAAGTGACTAGTGAGACAAATCAAGGACGTGTAAATACTTGGCTCTGATGGTTAATCACAATTCTCAACTGACAAGGTCTAGAGTCACCTGGGAGATGGCTTCTGGAGATGCCTGTGGGAGGCTTTGCTGATTGAGGTGACTCATACGGTGGGCAGTGGGTGGCACCTTTCCTTGGGCTAAGATCCAGTAGTGTATATAGGGGACCTGAGTGCAAGCCTTCATCACTCTCTGCTGCTTGACTGTGGCTGTTGTGTGACCGGCTGTCCCATGCTTCTGCTGTTGTGACCCCTCTGTCACAGTGGATTGTAACTCAGATGTCTGAGCCACAACTAACCCTTTCTCCCTTAAGTTGCCTTTGTTCAGGGTGTTTTATTGAGTACCAGGAAAAGTAGCTAAGAAACCGGGCTAGCCTGCCGGGGGTTCCCATAGCCTTGGCTCATTAGCTTAGCTCCTGTCCCCGCTCCTCTTTGTGTCACTTGTCACAGTTTCTGTGATGTGATGGAAAAGATAAGCAACTGGACGGAGCTGTTGACCTCAACTGTGAAAGACAGATATTGCTGACTTCTTAGTTGCTTTTTGTTCTTTTCATTTTCATCCCATGTGCTCTTGAAGTAAAGATGGGAGCGAGTTTGCTAATTGTCCGGGCTAAGAGGAGAGAATGTTACTTTGTGTGTTCTCAATGGTGCCCTACTCAAGGCATTTGTCCTTAGCTTTAACTCTTGCTTGGGGACAAGGAAAAAAAAATCACTATGCCATTGATGATACCTCAGCTTAAAAGAATCTTTCCCATAATCACGTAGGAAGCGATTTTGTTTGGAGGCCGAGGCTCAGGAGACTGCAGTCTGGCTGTGGGAAGAGCAGGTGGCCTCTGAGGCTATGTTTGCATGGGAAGGCCATCGCTTGTTTGAAGTCTGTGACATTGAAGGCGGTGAAACCTTGGGAGCCCTTTCCCCTTCCCTCACCATGTGGCTAGAAGTCTGCTCTTCCATCCTTTGCTCAGAGTGAGTGTAGCTCCACCCCTCGATAAAGATCATCTTTCCAGCCGGGTTTTCTTGGGCTAATCTATGTATACAGGAATTGATAGATTGTTTTTGATGTTCTTAGAACATACTGAAAAATGATCTTAGTTGCTTAGGTGATAATTTGTAGAAAAAAAAATCCAAAACCTTTGCTTTGTAAGTAATATCTGCTCATTGTAAGAAGATTTGGAAAGCATAGACAAGTCAGAAGAAGTAAATGAGTTACAAATTCATGGCCGTCCTGTACGAACTTTCTCTCTGTTAGCATTCTGTCTTAGATCCTTTCAGTCTTTCCTCCTGTGCGAAATTCCTCCTCCAGAGCTGTGTTCATAATGCACATTCAATTGTAGAAGTGGATCATTCGCTTTTTGTACTACAGTATGAACATTTTTTATAAATATGGCTTTAAATTACTGTATAATATCCTTTTATACACTTGACTTTTAAAATCACTTTCTGGTCATTGAATATGCACCTTTTCATCTTGATGAATACCTTCGTGCATAAAAGCCCTTCTGCAGGCTTGATTATTTCCGTAGGATAAGCCCCCAGAACAGAATTAACGGTCTGAAGTAGTGAAATTTATTAAAGCTTATGATTCAATTTCCCGAGAGCCTTGGTTAATCCTTCCTTTTGAGGCTATGCTAACATCAGTTCCTTTGACTTGCCAGTTGCTGCTTGTTCACAACCAGTGTGTTCTGAATTAGTGGGTTGCTTCCCAGCATTCAGCTGAGATGGCGGAAACCCTTGTCCACCTCCCACAGGCATACAAGAGACTCTGGTACACGCTGCGCCACAGGCAGGCCGAAGGCACTGTGTCAGGTTCATCACCTCCATGTTAAGTAACATAGGGTAGTTAAAAACTTAGGTGGTCTTAAGTATACTGTGTTTATTCTTCCACAGAGCTTTTATTCCCAGCATGTTGAGGCAGTTGTGTAATGATGAAGATACGTACACTGCTGGAAGATAAGGCGCTGTGGCACAACAAAGACCTGATATCTCAGGCCCGAGGGAAATAAGAATTTTAGATGCTGTCAGTCAGCCTCCATCCTTAAGACCTCCTGCTGCTGTTAGGGAGGGCCTGAAGCTTATACTTCAGAGTGACTTGGTGAGCA